AGTCACTTTCAGAATTACTTTTGTAGTTGTTCCAGCGATACGAAATGATGGGAATTCAGTTGACATTTATTATTTTCAGGTAAAAGCTAATTAAAAACAAATCACCAGATTAACAAGACCAAAAGATGAACGAAGAAAATGCCACTTTTTGTGACACCTGGAGTGGACTGACAATCGACGACACGGTCTCCTACATCAACAGCATTCTCCTTGCTACTGCCAACGCTCCTTGTGCCATTTTTGCGTTCTTTAGTAACCTTGCTGTTATTGTTACTGTCGCCAAGAACCCCTCCTTGCAGAGACCCAGCAACATCTTACTGTGTAGCCTGGCCTTCACGGATTTTCTTACAGCTCTCACTGCTCAGCCAATGTTTATCGTATGGCGACTTGTCCTTCCAAATTCTAAAGAGCCGTGTTCAAACCAGCTATTGATATTTTACTTATATTATATTTCCTATGTGTTTACAGCTGGTTTGTCTTTCTTGAACGTCACAATTATGAGTTTTGATCGCCAGTATGCTGTGTCCAAGCCCCTCGTATATATGGCAGAAGCGTCAAAAGAAGGTAGGTTTCTCCGCTGATAATAAGACAAGAAAGTCGCAAAAAGCGCCATCTTTAATTTATAGCTGTCAGAACAGGGCATTCGCAGAGCAGTATCATATGACCGTGTCGTAAGCTCAAAAATCTTACAACTCATCGAAGTCATGTGCCTTTTTGAAGTTGCCCGCTATTGTAAATCAAAGACCACGTGACTAGAAGAAAATCCATAATCATCGCTCTTATACTCAAATATCGCGCTCCCTCATAGATTTTCGAGCAAAGAAAGACTGCTCACGGCGTACAATAGGTGCTAAAACACTAAGCTCTTATTGTTTTAATCAGGTGCTATAAAGAAAGTCACCTTCGCAGGAGTGGTCTGGCTCATGTTCACGGCCTTGAATATTTTGGTTTTGCCACCTTTTATCAGAGGTCTTACCATCAGCATCTGGGGTTTGCTGTTTTTTGTTGCCCCGCCCATCAATTACGTCAGAACATGGCTCGCAATTGTCCATCACAATAGACAGGTGGCTGACAACGTTGTCTCCTCGCAACAGTTAAAAGCTGTGCTTCAACGAGAGAAGAAGGTTTTTCGTGATATGCTCATTGTCACCATGGTACTGTTCGCTTCACTGGTACCAGGTATACTTGGTTCCAGTATTATGGAACACTTGGGATATTATCGGGAGCTTGCACTTTTCCTCCCATGGGCGCGGACAATGTCACTTGCTCCGTCAACTATTAATCCTCTTATTTACTTTGTTCGAAATGAATATCTGCGAAATGCATTCAAGTCTATGGTGAACATTTAGTTTAAAAAGTTCCCTATATATAAGTATGCGTGCGATTTGATTTTCAATGCACTTACATATGGCTAGTGACAAGATAGCAAAACTTGAATTAAGAGGATTAAGGCACCATTCAGCAGTTAGGACAATGCTAACTTCCCATGAGTAAACATAAAGCTATTTACTTCATACGTATCCTGAGTATTTGTTTTATTAAACCAGAATCCACTACAACAGGCGAGGTTCCCATTCTCGCTCATTTCTTAAAGATTTTCAACAGCTAAGCGATAACTCAGTTTATCCGAACAGAAGCTATGCCTACTGAAAATTTGTTTTTAATTAAATCTGGAATCAGATCGTGATCTGCATTCTTCCAAGCAGAGCCGTTCATTTGTTTAATCTTTTCCCATATGAACCAAACTCTAGGTGATTCCTTGAACTGTCATCCCTACATGTGATATGACGAAAGGCATCAATACTTTTGTTGTTTCTTACTCCTTAAACATTTTAACAATGCTTAAGGAGAGAAACAAGGAAACTGCGAACCGTGACAAAGATTTCAGGCACATAAATGAAATAAAAAAAACTAGGGTAACATTTCGTTTGAATTTCTTCAACTGGTCTTTGTTGAATTTACAATGTCGCGCATACTTACCAGTTCCAGTTCCACGGCTGTTCGTAATCGTATCATTAAAATTGGTTGGTAAGAAGAAAAGGTTCCTTCCAAAAGAACGTAACCAAGCAAAATTTTCGAAAATGTTTTATGAATGGTACATAGACAAGGTTCCACTTTTTTCAGTGAAACTCCTGCTGGAATCTCGTCTGGTAAAGCATCCACTTATTCAAAATAGCCGCAAAATTCTGGAACCTCTCTGAAGGAGACAGTGATCCCTTTTGAAACTTTTCAATGTTTTTAACCTCATGTAAAGAATTATGAAGATCTTGGAAGGTGTTACCGACCTCGGCGGACAACACCCTCCTCGATCTCCATAATTTTTCAGATCATACTCAACCTTATTCAATAACTTCTAAAAATGCCCCCAAATAAGCGATAATGAGAAACTGAGGACGAGGCAGCTGTTATTCTTTTTTGATCATGGTATACATAAGTCAGGTATTCCGTCAAGAAGGCCACGGTTGCCGGTCAGTTTGTTGAAGACACTGGTAAAGGAGCTCATACCCCGGAGTGAGCAAGGTTTGAAGATTTACCTTTATGATTAATAAAAAACATAACGTACCTATTTTTATCGCATATATTGCTTATTATCGCAAGGGCGGCGCAGTGGTGAGAGCACTAGCCTCCCACCAATGTGGCCAGGATTCAAATCTCACCGTCGACGCCATATGTGGGTTCAATTTGTTGTTCGTTCTTTCCCTTTTTCCGAGAGGTTTCTCTCTGGGTACTCTGGTTTTCCCCTCTCCTCAAAAACTAATATTTTCAAATTGAAGTTTGACCAGGAATCAGGTAGACGAAGAACCACTTAGTGGATGTGCTAACTTTAAATCGTTATTTATTTATTTCTTATCGTACATGTGGCTCGAATGGCGAATTTGTGCTTGAGCGTATTTTACAATCGTCTAAAAATCTCACACTGGTCGGTTGCTCCCCTGTTGAGAGGGATTTGCCGAGACGAAAAAGTAGACCTGCGTCAAATTTCCTCATGGCAAATATGTCGCAAAAATGTGCAAGCTGAGGAGTAAATCAGAGGCAAAGATAATGTCGTAAATGCCACATTTGCCTGATAATTTATAACCCCATGTACGTGTAAATTGCTTTAACAATACCCCAGTTCAATTCCCCTCTGTTCTTGGATAGCGTGCAAAAGTCGTCAAAGGTCCCGATACCTGCGACCCTTTCGCTCGTCAAATAGTGGAAAATTCTGCGAAAATGCCCCACTAAGTCCCGGCCGGGGGGGCGGGGGAGAGGTGCGGGTGTTTACATTGACTACAACATTTAATTTTCAATCTGATGACTCATTGAGTTAAGGGGCTTTTTTTCCAAGTGTGGATCTCATCCAAAAGGTTTACACTCTGTAGGGCTTGGTGTATCACATTGAGCCTACGGGATTTCCCGGAAAATCAAAATCACTTCTTCTCAACACAAAATGATACCCGCGGTAGGGTGTTTTCGCTGCTTGCTGTTGAGTTAATTCGTTTTCTTCCCAAGATTTTAGAAAAGTGTGTGCTTTGGTGAACGGTATATAACAATCTTGGGCACCCAGGCAACAGGCCAGATACTGCAGGAAATATCGATCATGTACAGATTAACATTCCAATTGATTTGCTGCCTTTATTCGACCACCTGCTTTCTAACCAGTCTTGTTCCCCAAGATCCTTCAAGGCTTTCGAGCAGTTGTTTTCCAATAACGCATTTGAATAAAATCAGTTACACTTACAATATAAGCAGTGATTTCTCATTGACCAATCATTTAGCAATATTGTTTTCCACGCCATGAAACTAATAAAAAGAGAAGTGGTTCATTTTAATTTTTTGTACCCTTTGTAGGTCCTTGTATTCTAACTGATCAATTAAAATTTACCCCCAAACTGAATTTACAATACATTTCATGATCAGTAGATATAAGTTATTTAGTCCTGAAAATTCTCATCTGTAAATCTGTCATGTCACTCCCAAGTTGCGAAGATTAGGTACAATTCGTCGAACTCCGAGTATGATGACCTCCTTTTTCTTTACTGAAAAATCTTCAGCAAAACATTTATGGATGCTTCGTTAAAGTGGTTTTTGGTCAGTACTATCATTGTGAAATCCCTTTGTTCACTTTCCATCTTTTACTAGCCATGCATTCCTCGTTATTCATTTTTCAGTAAGCTTGTTCCCCAGGATCCTTCATGGCCTTCGAGCAGTTGTTTTCGAATAACGCATCTGATTAAAATCAGTTACACTTACAATATAAGCAGTGATTTCTCATTAATTAATCATTTAGCAGAATTGTTTTCAATGCTATGAAAATAATGAAAAGAAAAGTGATTCAAAAGTGGTTCTTGTAACCCTGTATTCTAACATTATTTAAAATTTACCCCCAAACTGAATGTAACATGCACTTAAGTCAGTAGACATCGGCTATTTAGTCCTTTCAATTCTCATCGTAAATATGACAGGTCACACCCAAGTTGTGAAGTTTAGGTACAGTTCGTGCTAAAGAGCGAAGAAGTTCGTGTATGATGACCTCCGTTTTCTCAACTGAAAACTTTTTGTCTCTGAATGTAAGCTTCGTAAAATTGGTTTTCCGTTACTATCATGAATCAGTTTATTCACTATCCCATTTTTACTGGGCGCGCCTTCCTCATAATTAAGCGGTTTTTTCCTGTCCTTTTGCCACAGAAGATTCTTCTTTCTTCGCCGAACGTGTGATTTCACCGCCTACTTTTTCTTCGCTTCCCCTGCTCTTCTTTTGATTTCCAGCGTTGAGAAACATGGCAACTTCGGCAGCAATTAATATTCCCATGACCCAGATAAACCAACGCTTGGAGAAATATTTGGCGAATGTGGCGAGAAATGCTACTGTAACGATTCCAAATCCGACAGCGATATTGAAAGTGCCAGCAACGTCGAACCGTTCGCCGTATATTAGCTTAAACGATGGTCGGTAGAGTACAGCTTCTCTGAAGCATTGATACTGAAGTCTTATCAGTAAATGAATCGAAGACAAAGTCAATAACGTTTCTCAGTCGCCTGCCGTCGTTTAGCGTCCTGGCAAACTTTCAAAAGCCGGTACCGCGCCCTAAGATGACAGGGAATTGAAAATCATAGGTTGTCTTTCATGTTAATAACAGGTGATTTTTAACTAGGTTCACTTTAAAAGGATTAATGCTTGCGGGGGGTGTTGATGTGGCATAAAATTAAAAAACTATGCCGATAGGTTTCACCTGGTTCCACCTGTAGACTGTTTCTAGGTTTATTACCCACAAATAGCTGAAACTCAAGTATGAGGGATTGTCGATAATATTTCTTTCCGTAAATCTCAACGGGCGGTATTTACACCAATGACAGTTTTAATTCCTTGTTTTTTCAAAACAAAACCGTAAAAAGCGGGGGTAGTCACGCACAATTTAAATCTGAGTGCTTACAGTCCCAACTTTGTATTTGACTAGCAAAAAAATGGTAAAAGAAAACGGCGTGATCTCAAATTGATGGTGTTTTCAGATGTTAAAGAACCAGTAAAAATCTTCTAGTAAAAGTTCTTGGTGAAAAAAAACAAGGTCTATCTTGCATTGAATATATACTCTGATTATTATTGTAACGAAAGTTATGTTTTGTCTGTGGTATATGTTCAATTTTTGAAAGAAAGAAAGAAAAGAGAAGAAAGAGAGAGAAAAGAGAAGTCCCTCCCCGCCTCGCCGCTCTAAAAATATTTCTTTCATAACCCCTAAGAAAGGTCCGATACTCACTTGTCATTAATGCCTGTCAAAAGTGACTCTTTCAACTTTTCCCTTCTGTTTTGACAAAAGAGCCTCATTTCAATGTTGGGAATAACAAGAGTGACTTAAAAAGATTTTACAGTGATGACGTTCATTTAAGGGGGCATTACGGTTGGATTTTAAAGAAAAATTGAAAATTTCACCAGGTTTTTTATTTCCTCTTAAATGATACCAGAATCCATCTAGTTTTAGATTGTACATGTATTTTAGGCTTAATTATTTGCGCGCCGCTAAAAATCAGCCGCTTTGAAGGGCTGGTAAATTGTTTGGGTTTGGTTGCTATGGCAACCACAAGTAGTTCAGTCGCTTTGGCACGTTTTATTTTTCCAAAATTGTACAAAAACTCATTCCAGGTGATCATCAGATCCAAGAGTCCAGCCCCAGATTCTCTGAGTCGGAATTTCCAATACTTTGAAGCCCGGTTACAAAGCAGTTAGTCTTCACAGATCCAGCGTGAGAGTCCATCTTGCTTACTTGTGTTCTTGTTAGTAAATCATGCCAAAAGTGGGGAGAAAACAGTCTGTTTTAAGGAATAGTCCGTCAAAAAGAAAGAAAGGTTTTAGGGGAACCCAGAAACAGGAGGTAGCGCAGAAGAGAAGGAAAGAAACGCGAGCTGTAGAAGTGACCTTTGTTGGTGAAGACGATGTTGTCAGCGAGCAAATTCCGCCCCCCGCAGAATCTGCTTCCAAACGGAAAATACAGCCAAGCGACGATGGAAGCTGCTCGAATGAAACTGCTGAAGATGTTCTGGCCCCTGCCGAAGGATACAGACTTGTTTCAATGGACAGTCTTCTTAAATTTGTGAAGAGAATTCACGCACAAACTCCATGTCACTTAGGTAAGAGTTATGTGAGTTAAATTATAAGATCTATGAACTAAGATATAAAAGCTTTTTTTTTTATCAATGCTTGGCCAAAATTACTACAGCTATATCCCTTTATTAATAAAAGCGTTGATTGTCTTTATTCATCTACTAGGCCAAATACAAATGTTGGAGAGTTCCAGTAACCGGTTTGGGCTTGGTAGCTCACTTTATGCCAAGTGCAGTGGTTGCGGTACGTCCGAGTTTCTTGCAACTGGTAACCACCCTCAAGATGATGTTAATGCAAGAACTCTTCAAGGAAAAGATGTGAACAGAAGAATGGTGTTCGCTGCATTTTAGTTCCCCCACTAAGCTGTCTGATGGCAAACCAATGAAGCTAGAGATGGGCGACTAACCGAGAAAGCTATTGAAAAACTGAAAAAAACTATGGAAAAGCTGTGCGTAAACAGAAACATAGCTTCGACGAGTGAGAGAGACAGTGCAGTAAAAAAGATGCAAGTGGAGATAAAAGCTGGGCTGTATCACTGCCTAAAAATTTCAAACCAAGAAAGGCACAAATACTGTCCAGTTAATTCATGGTGCAAGTTCAAAAAAGGATTGCCTTGTCCAAACAAGCCACATCACTTGGATGGTGTTTTCAAGGAACCACTTGAAAAAATCAATGATCGCTTGAGTGAGCCATCAGATGCTTGCCTAGATACACCCAGAATGTAAATGAGTCTGTCAATGCATTGGCATGGAACAAGTGTCCCAAGCATAAGTGACATGGTAGAAATCGAATTGTCATGGCTGTATCCTCTGCCGCTTTGCACTTCAGTTGTGGTGCAACAAAAAAGTTTGATGTCATGAGGAAAGCTGAAATCTCACCTGGCAAGCACAGTTGGAAGGAAGCAAGACAAAGAGACAGTGGAAGAATTCTGCAAGCAGAGCACAGAGCTCAAGAAAAACACAAACAGTATAGACTTGTACGAAGACAAGCTAAGCAGAGAGAAGAAGACTTGCGTGTAACCTAGGAAGGCATAACCTATGAGGCTGGAGGTTTTGATGAAACACAGCTGTGCAGAATGGGTAAAAAGAGAAAGAACCAAAGAACCTAAGCATACCTTCAAGTAGGTGTGCTGTTATGCATCAAAGACCATTTTAGGGAGTCATTAGTCTTACAAGTGACATTTAGATAAAACTTAAGTTTCAATTGCATTTTTCTGAAAATAGCTTTTTTCGGGGTAATTTTGTTGGCCCCTCATATTTCTCAAAGAGTATTTCAGCTATTGTCACGAAATTTGGTACAAAGATTGTTTATGTAATTGTCTGCAACCTAATTGGGCAAAATTTCTGTTTTTGAAATACAACTGGTTTTATAAGTAATTTGTCTTTTGCAAAATCTAATTTGTTACCATGACAACCAAAATGGTCAAAACGTGATAACTCTCAATAAGGTTGCAGTCCATGGCATACTGCTTTATTGTACCAAAGATTAGGTGATTATTTTAAAAGGGAATGACAAAAAAGTGAGGGGCCCCGATTTAGCCCCAAAAATAGCCCCTCACAGGAACTTGTTAATTATTAACCTGAAATAAACAATATGGTAACTCTAAATATGTCATGCGGTAAGCAATTGCCTGGGTGTACTTCTTACCAAGTTTGAGCTGATTTGATTGAATTGTTGATTAAATATGATTTTTTGAGTAAGCTACCAAAATCTTACCATGAACCTACCGTAATGCCCCCTTAATTTTAGGCTCGGCCTCCACTTGGAATGTCTTGATTCCCCCCTCGATTCTTTGCATTTTACACAGTGAATAAAACACGTTCAAAGTCCTCAAGGGCAAAATTTGTAACTGAAAGCTTTTCTTTTTCCACCAAAAGATGAGCATTCTTTTGAATTCGGCCCTTTCCACTTGTGTCTTACAGTGCCGAAATTTAGTCTTGAAAACCACTACACGATGAACGCGTGGCAGTGATTTTGTTGAAGATGTATCGATATCCAATATCGTGCACCTTCCTTCCCCCGTACAAACCACCAAATCTATTCGCAGTAACCAGAGCGTTCCTGAATCCTGATAGGGGTGGAGTAGGGAGAAGTTCGAATTTATGCATAATCAGGTTGTAAACATCATGACCCAACTGACAAGTGGAGCCCTAATAAAACCGTGCACCTAGCCGTGGCTGGAGACCGAGCCTACGTTCCTGCGTTACCTGACTTGGTGAAATGACACGGTAAAATTTCAGCGTATTTTACCTGTTGCTAGCTTTTGAAATTTTTAATTTTCGCGTTCCCGCCTTCCAATTCCAGTTCAAATTGTACGACCGAAAGGGACTAGGAACAAGTTTATACCGAGCATGCTTGGCATGCGCGAATTTTGAACCTGACAGCAAACCCAGCCGAAACTTCTCAAAAAAATAACTGCCGCTTCTCGTTTCTTTTAACGTCTTCTCTTTCACATATGTCTCGAAACGATACATCACTACAGCCATTATCTTCAAACGCAGTATCTGCGAAAGAATTAGCAAGGTAAGAACGCGATCAAGCGGTCATAGTCGGTGATCATTTCAGTCGCACTTATGGGCTTGCTCTTTTCCTTTTCTCGTTGCAGCGTTGTGAGAAACATGTTAGTTATTTACAAAACCAGCCGCAATTGATTTTTTTACCGCCCTGCTCGTTTTTAGATGTTTAGGTCTTGTAAAGAAGAGGCCCTCATTCTCCACGAGCCGATCTAAGGGTCAAGAAAAGGAGAAAAAACCAAGTAAGAAATCCAATTTATTAGTAAGCTTAACACCTTTTTAGTTTTTTTTAGCTGTCTTCAAATTTGAATCTCGAATCAATGTAAATTACCTGCATCGATAATGCAGTATATGTATGTTGTAGTTAATTTTTTATCTCAGGTAGATTTTATTTTTCTTTTGTTTCAACGCCATTAGCATACATTACCATACCCAAAAACAAAAGAAAAAGAAAAATTACCTGAGATAAAAAATTAACTACAACATATACATACATTGTTCTTTTGTATTTTTAAGTACTAGATTTTCTGCTATCTACAAATAACTACAAATAGTAGATATTCATCAATGATCAAATTAAAGAAAAGAATTAATCAATTATTATTAGATCACAGAGTGAAAAAAGGCTTGCAGATTACTACACTATCGTTAAATCTTTGACAATTGTATATTGTAAAATTCTCTATTGATGTTATCTTTTTCTAACAATGACAGGCCAATATTTTACATACTTGATTGTTCTTGACTTTGAATCAACATGCTGGAAAGACAAGAAAATGAACTATGGTCCTGAGATTAGTAAGTCATCAATAGTATGAGCTGATTGTGTAGGAACTCAGGGCTCTATTCAATGACCTTCCTCAGCATGTGCTAAGTGAACATTTTTCTCAGAGACTCTGAGGCTGTCAGAGCAAAAATTTTGGTTTTGAAAACCACTTTTGGTAACCCATCAAATAGACCTTGTCACGGTTTTCGACGCCATTTTGATGAGTAGGAAAACACGTGAGAAATAAGGTTTGTATGAGAATCTAATGTTGAATAATTTCAGTAGAACGGCTGTTCTGAAAACAGTATCAATTGTAAACTAAAGCTTAATTCTTAAGGATTCTACTGAAAAAATCGAGGGCGTTACATGCGCTAGAAGACCTAGAACCACTTTTAAATTTTCTATACATTTGTCTGTAAGAAAGTCCCAGGAAAAATTACAGACAAATATATGGAAAATCTAAAGCAAGCCTTTCGAGAAATTTTAGGACAGGTATGCCCCAAACTAACAATCCTTTGCTTTGTAGCTTTAGTTTACAATTCATATTTTTTTCAGAACAGCCGTTTTTTGGAAATTATTTGACATTAGATTCTTATACAAACACTGTTGAAAACCGTGACAAGGTCTATTGACCGATAGTCATCTTGCCTGAAGATACTGTGTCACCTGAAACCACAGTTATGTTACCTGAAAGTTAATATATAGTTATGTCACCCAAAATTTTATCAGGCGCAATACACAGAGAAATAAAGATGAATAAAGGAGTGTGTGAAATATATAATAATTATCTAGCTCTTGAAGCCATGAGACATAACAATAAAATTTATGTGTATTGTATGTGCTATGATGAGACCAAAGAAGTCTGACAAGGGAGTAATGTATCTCGTTCTTTAAGCCTTGATAGGCAAAAAAAGCATTTCTGGTGACTTTATGCTAACAACTGATGAAAGTGAAGAATGATCATCGCAATTTTCCAATTTAAGCAATTGGAAAGAAGAAGCCTGAAAAAAAAATTCAGGGCTTCAACGGGATTCGAACCCGTGACCTCCGCGTTACCGGTGCGTTGTTCTACCAACTGAGCTATGAAGCCACACATTGGTTATCAACTGAGTTGATAACCTCACTGAATATAACACCAGAAAAAGATTGAAAAACTGACCATTTGAACCCTAGGTGTAGTGCATACACTGTTCTGTTTTAATCAAAATTAAATTGAGGAATTCCCTTTTTGTTCACTGTTGATACTGTCTGGTGCTTTATGATTGTTAACTCAGACATCTTCCATGCATCCCTGGTGGGTGGTTAGTTGGTTGCGGGGAGTTTTAGAAGGGTCCAAACCTTCTGACTCCCGTACCTTGCATTAACAGCTCCTGCCCTGCCCTGTTTTGATTGCAATTACTGAGTAATTTCTCCCACTTCCTCCCCTTTTAGAACTCTCATCTCCCACCCTTTCCTCTCCCAGCTTCTGTACCCCTCCTGCCCCCTATTGTCCTGTGACTCCCTTCTCCCTTTCCTCACCCACTGGTTTGCTTGTTAACCAAAGGGAGACTTACATGTAAGATGAGATAACAATGTGTTACTTAGGATCTTTTTACTTAGGCTAATGTACCTTATTGTTTTCCTTAATATGTTTGTCATCAATTTTGTTTTTGTTTTGAGCAGTTGAATTTCCTGCTGTGCTTCTAAATACTTCCACTGGTGAGATGGAATCAGAATTTCACATGTTTGTACAACCAAGTGAGCACACAAGACTAAGTGAGTTCTGCACAGAGCTAACAGGTATCACTCAGGTACAGTAGCCTACACTTTTAATTGTTTCCTTCTGATCCTGTCGCACATTCAATCAGAAGTTATGGACAATATTAATAATTAAGCTCGAATTAACATCCACATGCAAGTAAGATTATTACCCCCTCTTCAATTTAGCACCCCTCCTCAGGGTTGTCACTAAGATTTCGAGTTGCCGGGTAGATACAACAAGTAGGCAGGGAATCAAACAGCTAGGGATTTCGTTTGGTTCTATTTTTCTTCTGTTTTCCAATAAAAGTAGCCGGGGGCCACTCTCTTAGTAGCTGGGGAAAATCCCCGGCCCCCGGCTCTTAATGACAACCCTGCCTCCTACAGTAACAGACCATGGGCATTGTAACACTTACAAGTGTGTAAATTGTGCACAATATGGTAGATTTCCACGCCAAAAACTCATGTGTAATTTTTTTAACAAACTCTTACATGCAGCCTTTCTACCCTCAAATTTTTGTGTATTTTTATGGTGACTGATTTTGCTTGTTATAGATGTAAATACACGCAAGTTGTGTGTACAGTGTATTTCTTTACAACAGCAAATGGCAGGAGCCCATGATGGCTGATGTAAAATTAAAAATATTTGATAAGCACTCCCTTGAATAAGTGATTAAACCCCACGTATGGGTGAAGAGCTAACATTAAGGGTTTATTTTAACTGATTCTTTTATGTTTGCTTCTGCAGACTCAAGTGGATGAAGGAGTTCCAGTTGGGACATGTCTCATGCTGTTTGGACGCTGGTTACAGGAGATGAGAGAGAAAAAAGGCTTCAAATTTCCCTGTGATCAGATTTTTAACAAAGATGAAAATAAGCCCACAGAGAATTTGACAAAATGGTGCACATTTGTGACATGGTCAGGTATTTGATTGAATTATCTGCTATCAATCTAGTTCAATCTCAATTTTCTCCTCCTAAAGGGCAATTTCAATGTGCATGTTATGAAATAATAAATTATTGATAGTTCACTCTGATAGAGATGTAAGAATAAAGAGAAGGGAGTCAAGTTATATTTTTAATAAAATTAAACTTTCTCATCTTCAGGGAAACCTTTATAGTTTAGTAAATAACTAGAAAAAGCATTTCAGACAACTACAAAATTTGAAAAAAAGCACTGGGGCTTACTTTCAAAGGCCTGTGTTAGGCCTATGTTGCATATTTTTTACTATTGAGTCATTTAGATCTCTGATTTTGTTTCCTTTAAAATCAACATATGTTCAATGATGAAGATTGGGACTTGGGAACTTGTCTCAAGAATGAATGCTACAGAAAGCAGTTAAGAGTGCCGCATCCCCTAAGAAGCTGGATTGACCTGCGAGCAACATACAAGGTTTGTATAGTGCAATGGTGTCTAAGGGACAAGTTCACCGCCAGTAGTTCCTTAAAATGGTTGTACACTGTACAGGAGAGTTAAAATGATATTATAAAATTAGGAGTGAGCGAACTAGAAAATTGCTGCCTCTAGTCTTCTCGTGACAGCTTGTTCTGTGGACTGACTAAAAGCGCAGGAGGGCTGAATGTTAAGACCTTGTAAGATTATTTTTGTCCCTAGATTAGTAGATTAAATAAAAGTAAGAATGACAAATTATACTGCCATAAAATGCTCTGGTAGGAGTTTTGTGAATGGTTAGCCAGCTAGTGTATGACAGCTAGAGTGCAATATCTTGAAAAAAATAATATTAAGTATTTAAGCAATAATTGCCTACATTGCACAGTGGTACAAATAGTCCTACTCAGTAAATCATCAGTATTGCGTGATGAAAACCTGCAGTATGTGGTCGAAATGGCACAATCATTGTCAAAGTGACTATGATGAGACAAACGATAAACAAAACCCTTTATGGCGTAAACATGTACATACAATGTATTGCACTCCACATAGTGCTTAACAACAGTAAATCACAGCAAGATGGAGAACACTGTTCTTTTCAGTCCATGAATACTGAGAAAGGAAGAGCAATTAACCAAATTTCTAGCCCGTCTTATATTAGTCACCCTGTAATTGCCAGGAATAATGCATTTGGCGCCGAACATCTAATCTTAATGAGTCTATCCTAGACTGCACAAAAGATTCTTTCTCTACTTGCATAGCCCGCGAAAACATCCGTTTCTCCTCGCTCTTCGCCGCTGGGGACGTCTCACGCGGAGGAACGTCTGCAACTCAGCCACAGAAATTCCATACTGATGATGCAAATCAATGTTTACTTGATAAATCCGGTAGTCATGGGGTTCCAAATGTAAATTTATTCAATTTTAGGTTTCTCCTGGTCGATTTGGTAAAGTGTTGTGTTCATCTGCGAACGAGCTCCAGCAAAACTCAAATGCTTGTTGTAGAGAAGACTACTCCACAAATATTGACTGTTTTGTTAGAGATTCATCGCATTTACTTTTTACCTTTGTGGCCTTTTGTCTTTTGTCTTTCATTCGTAAACAATAGCTAAAACAATGTAACTACTCCGTCGACCAGTTAGGGCTTCTGACTGGATTCTGGACATATTTTACATCATGAGTATGGAATTTCTGTCGCTGAGTCACAGACGTTCCTCCGTGCGAACCGTCCCCAGCGGCGAAGAGCGTGGAGAAACAGATGTTTTCACAGGCTGCTACTTGCATTGAGACAAATTTTCTTTGGTTTGCTATGATGTTTTAAGTTAAAAGAAATAACGTTTTTCTCTGTAAATGAAATAATTTATTTAGTTTTGCCTTATTGATTCTACAGAACTTTTACAGTCGTAAGCCTCAAGGACTAGCAGGGGCTCTTCAAGACCTTGGGATTCAATTTGCTGGTAGAGAACATTCAGGTACTGTTAATTATTCTTTTAAAAAAACAGGTTTCCATTGCTTTCTGATTTAATACACTTTTTCATTTAGATGTGAAATAAACTACTGGAAATGGTCTAACAAGGGAAACAAAATAATTAAAATAGAAAAATACAGTTGTCCTACATTTGTTGGTTTGTTCAACAAAATTTAATGGACAATAGGAAGCAAGCTGGTGGTGCAGTGGTGACAGCACCCACCTACCACCAATGTGTAGGCTCGGTCTCCAGCCTTAGGTGTCTCGATTCGCCCACCGGGGAGACACCCATTCATTCATTCATTCATTCATTCATTCTTTATTTGCCATATATACAAAATTTTACAACGCAAGATGGAAATAATATGCTATTAAAGAAAAAGTAAATGGCAAAGAGACCTGAAAGAAACCACGAGGCTTATAATGAGTCAGGTGTCCTCAACTTAGGATTAACTAGTCTTGATATAATAATTGGAGAGTGAGCCTGTTGGTTCTCTCCCTTGCTCCAGGAGGTTTTTCTCCGGGTATTCCAGTCCCCCCCCCCACCCTGTCCCCTCCTTAAAAACCAACATTACCAAATTCCCATGCGACCAGGAACCAGGTAGATGAGGAACCACTGGAAGGATGCAACTCTAAATTGTTATTCAGTTTCTTTATTTATTCATCTAAGGTCTGGATGATGCTCGAAACACAGCTCGCTTAGCATGGAGGATGGTGTCTGATGGATGCATCATGCAGATAACAAAAAGCACCGATGGGGTGAATATACCTACAATGAACATAGAGCTAAAAAAATAAGACAAAATAATAATATTATTGCTCCTTTGCTAAAAAGGAATGACATTTTGTCTAAGTTATTAGAAAATTTAATAGTTGCATGTGTATTATAAATGTATTACTTGTAGTAATTTATTATAAATCAAAAATATATAACATATAGAAGCAATGAGTTACCATTATAATGTGCACAATAGACAATGACAAAAGGAAATAAGTCTGCATAATTATAACTCACCGAACGGTCAAAGGTGATTCTCGAAGATTGCACCGAAGTGTACAGTATATTTGTGCAAACAATGCGGAGCAAGTTAGTAATAGAAAAGAGAAACTTAATATGGTATCCGAGCAAAGCAGAGTTTGTTGCATTGTTACGATAGACTGACTGCTCCCCGTTTATTAATTACACTGACCAAAGTTTTTCAAAAATGTAGTTATAATCTATGGTGAACAATAAAATTAATTTATGATGCGTAGTTGTTTAATTGTTGTGCTATCCTCACCAACCTAGCTTAAAAGTGAAAATTTCCGGAAAAAAAAAATTAAGTCTAGTGTTCCCTGTTTTTTCTCTTGCAAAGACCAAAAAAAGAACTGTCAGATTTTTTTTAGAAATGACCTTTTATAGCCACTGATCCTCGCTTTACATGTCATCTTGAAGGAGCTCATCCCAAGAAATTTGTTATAAACGGAGAAGAAAAATGACACTAAAAGTTGCATAATTACAGCAGTGGCTAGCCTCCCACGCAGACGTTCTTAGGGGTTCGTCACGCGTTAAGAACGTCTGCGTGGAAAGCTAAGCAGTGGCGAGTTAACTCTTTCTCTATGCACGACTTTCCGCTAATTAAATTTATAGATTGCTTATTTCTCAAACATAATCTTAAGACTTTATTAATTTTGTTGTTCTAGGCTGTGGAAAAACTTTGGAACATTGTGACTATGAAACCTTGTCTTACCCAAAATAATTTGAAAGCAAACGGTACTGGGGCATTCCATACCAGTAACCAGAGTGATTTGATGTCTGAAGATATGCAAGTTCTTCATAACAAACATCACGCTAGACCGCCTAAAAACTGTACCGATGAAACAAGTGTAAACAAAAGTTTAAACTTTGGTGATTTTCAAGCACAGAATCAATGCAGAAATGGCACAAGACAGAAGGTCACTGTGAAAAGCGAGATGAAAGAGCCCAGATCTGTCCAGATTCCTGGAAATAGATTGACAAATCATCACGTTAAACCATCTAAAACTTGTACTGAAGAAACAAGTGTAAACGAAAGCTTAAGCTTTGGTAAGGCTCAAGAAGAGTGTCACAATGTACATGTACATGGCACACAAAAGAGCATCACTGTAAAAAGAGAACTGACCGGAGCCAGAGCTGACCAGTTTCCTGAAAATAAAATGACAAATCTAAGGGAAAAAAGCCTTGTTTGGGGAGCTGTGAAGAGTGGGAACAGTGAAGCAAATGGCCAAAATAAAAGGAGAGCATCGGTCAGTTCTGTTAGTGAAGGCATGTCTGTTGGGAATTGCGATGGGGCCTGTGCCACACCCAAAAAGACCTCCAAGTCTCTTATAACTCCTGCAACGTGCTTATCAAGTCTGAACAAAAGAACAAGAGGATGCTGTAATGGTTTGTTTAGGAGTGAATTGGAGAGCTGCTCAACACAAGGGTTTCTTGTGAAAAGAGGTCTTGCTAAACAGACACTGAGCTACCATCTGCATACACCTTTGGGAAGCCATAATCAGCGAGTATTTCCTGGAACGGGACAAAGGGATTACACTTCCTGCAACCAACCATGCAAAGCATCAAATATTGAACCTCAGAATGTAAACACGCCCCTGTTCAGGTTACCAACAAACCATAGCTTAATCGAAGAGAGGCATCTGGTAGAAGGACTAAAAAACAATAAATCTATAACAGTAGCTTCGAATAACATTGGAATAACAGCTATAAACAAACCAATGGCAAAAGCAGCGACTGTTGCAACCACTCCCAGTTCAATATACTTGAACAAGCCATGTACTACTCCAAAAAGAAAATTTCCTTCTTTCAACCCACCCCTTAATGGGAACATGAACTCCCCCGTTACTACCCCTGTAGCTTGCTTCAATGGAGGTGGTATTACCCCACCCCTGTGTCACTGTGGGCGTCGTACTCGGCGCAGAGCTGTCATCAATCCAGGACCTAATCAGGGAAGAGCTTTCTTTACATGCTCTTTTAGTCACGGGAGAACAACTTCTGGTGCAAATTCTGATAAAAAGAAGTCTAAAAGTGGTTGTGAATTTTTTCGTTGGGAGGTCCGTTTATAAAAGTGTGCAATCAAAAGATATTTTAATGCGAATGGTGTTAATGTTAAGGTGTTCTAGGGGTTAATTAAGTTCGTATGTGACAGGGTCTGGAATTTATTGAGCAATCCAAAGGACTAGCAAAGATAACTATTGTTCAAAAACTGCTTCCGTCTATATTTATAAGTTGTAGTCTGTATTTTGTGTACTTAGTGAACTGTGTCTTGAAGTTTGTGCGCTTTTCTACACTTTTGGTCAAAATATCGATCACGAACCCCCCCCCCCCCCCCCCCCCCCTGGGAAGGACCATAATAAAATGTAAAAAAAAAAAAGGTGAATCATTTGTGCATGTGAAAATAAACGTTAACAAAATCAATCGTTTATCCACCATGAAGAGCTTTATTTTGACTTGGATTAGTCTCTTATTTTGCTTCGGGCTAGCCTAGAAGGTACTGAGCTGCGCGTATTTCACAGCTTTGCCTTGAAAAAATCTAGTCTGGACAATGCCACTTACCTTTAGAGAGAATAATGCGCACGTGTGCTGTTCATGTGCTGTATTGATCAGGGCCCGGTTCCTTAAAAGATGGTTAATTTTAACCCAGGATTAAGCCAAATTTTAAGTAAATAAGGTTTTCTCCTCTAAGAACATGCAACTCGAGCTTACAAAGTATTGTTGAGCCTCTATTCTGAGATACAGTAATGTTAGCAAAAAATGTTACTCTAAGCAATAAACAGGAAGGTAAAACACAAATATGGAACAAAATTTTAATCCTGATTAGCGCTAATCGGCGTTTCTGGAATCGGTCCTCGATTAGCATTAATCCAATTTGCAATTTGTATTTACCTTTCTATGCATTGCTTAGAGTAACATTCTGTGTTATCATCACTGAATTTCGAATTAAAGACACAACAGTATCTGATAGTATTTTGTAAGCTCAAGTTACATGTTCTTAGAACAGAAAACCTTGCTTAAAATTTGGCTTAATCCTGGGTTAAACTGAACCATTTTGTACATTTTGGTAGACTCGTCTCTCATTCCCAGGCCTTAAGGGCAAAGAGAAAGGACCCTGGGAACGAGGTTGAAATTGTTTATATGTCCAACATGTCGCGCAGTTTTGAAACTGTGTGCGCCATGCAGCTTTATATTTCGGACGGGACTGAGATGGCGGAAGCCTCTGCAGGAGATGTTTACAAGTAAGAATGAGACGCAACCGGTACGAGAAGTGCTCTTGGCGACTTAAATAATGCTTAATGTGGAAGGAATGTCGGGAACAGTTCAGTTGCTACCGCTAGGCGCCACAAGACTCACTGGTTTTCAAAAGTTCTTTGCCTTTGGTTTTAATTATTTATGATAAAAATAAAAAGAAATTGAGCTTGTTTAAAAGTCTGCGGAGAGGAAGGGAAGGGCCACAATTGTTTACAAAAGTGAAATAGGCATTGTGAAACAAGAGCCGAAAAAAGGTACTGCTCTCGCAGGCTACCCCTACAAAGGATACCACTCCATATAAGAGCGACCTACCTCTGTCCCCATTTCAAGGTGGTCGTTGTGGGAGTAGTTTTTCTCGCAGCGCTAACCATAACATCACATTAGGACATTCGTGCACGATCAGGAAAGTCGCTTTCGTCTTGGTCAGCAGGCTCAAGCGTGCACAGTCACGTCCTAACGACAGTTTTTCCCCAAGACCTTGACCATGTGCTCTCCTTTCCGCTGCTCAAAGCGCTCTTCTCTTTTTAGTGGCCTCGAAGTCCAAACTTGGCGTTTGCGTGTTTTAACCATGTTGTATAGGATAGCTCCGATAGACAAAGGGCGAAGACAGTCAGCCAAAACTGAGCCAACGCGTAAAATCGAGTAAATGATCAGCAACTTTATTACATCAAGAAAGCACAGTTTTTACATTTTTACTACAGTAGCATTTTTTAGCCCAGTATGAAACTGTTTTATGACACAAATGCACCACTACGTTCAGCGCAACTGAGGCCTGGTCACTTAGTTGACGCTCTATTGACTTCATCGGTACGTCACTATGCTTGCTTGCATGCCTTTCAATGGATCCTACTTGTCAGAATGGCTCACGTGACGGCTATTGCGAGGTAAACAGAAAGTTCGCGCGCGTAAGTTCTGAGTGAAAGTCAATTCTGATGATACTGTACTGAGACTGCACGATTTTACTGTGTTATTTTATGTGCCTTAAAGTTATTTATGATCTTCAAAGGGAAAGCTGCCGTCAGCAGATCTCTAAATCTGCATAAAAATTTACATCTAATTATATGCACCGGCAGAATGCTAAAAAACCGTTCTCCGAAACGAATCAGCTAAACAAAAACTGCATAATTTACTACCGTAAAGAAACATTAATAAGACAGAAAGGTCCTTTTGAGTACGATAATATTTAAGATTTGATTTCCCTTTTTTCCTCCTGACGTAAGTGCAGGGGTGGGATGGAGCCGATTGAACACATGATACGGACATGAAAGTTTGAACTGATCAGTTGGACACCATGCACAACAACTTTTTAAAAAAAAAAATTTTAAAAATGAAATAAAAATTGATAATATTTCTCATCAGTACCTTAAAAGTCGTCTTGTTCTCGAGGAAACTTTCTTATTTCCATTGGCTCTTCTCTGTCCCCGTCACCGACTTCTTGGACAGGAACGAGTATTCGTTTCTCCTCCTGCTCTTCGTTATTGTAATCTCTTTGCCACTCCAATAGTTTTATAAATATGACGGTGATTATCCCTCCGATGACAAAACACGCCAGACTTTGCCAAAGTACATTTTCCTTATAGTTTCACGAGATGATGCCCAGGAGTTTCGGCAAGAAAACAGAACTAAGATAACTATAACACGTAGTGAAGATCAGTCTGCAAAGTGTTTTTCCCTCGTACGTGTATTTCCGGTCAATCATATTATAACGGATCTGTCAATCATATGATCATGATTGACAGGAAATACATGTACGAGGGAAAAACACTTTCCAGACACCTGCGTTCGTGCGAGAAGATGTCGTGACGATTACAAAAGGGTCAAGCCAAAGTAAGAGTGAAGTAGAGTAGAGGGCAGTAAAGAACGGGGCGTGCGAGGGAGACACGCGAGGGGAGAGGAACACCTACCCGAGACCGAGAGGCCCATGAAAATCGTTTAGCGGCCACTATCCAATTACCTGGGCGAAAGTCAATAAACAATAACATCAAAACTTTTAAAGCATCTTATTATTCTAATGCTTTTATTTAATCTAAAGGAAATTCTCGAAAAACGTGGCAAACCATTTTATATAATTATGTTTTAATATAAAAATTATAATAAGATGACACAAGACTCTGTCAGCATCAGCTATCAGTAAACAAGCCGTCTCAGATGCTGCATAAATTTTTCACATAAATCGTCTTCGCTAGTTCTTCGCCTGTTAATTCTTTGCTCCCTGCCGTTTTCTTCTTTCTCTTTGCCTTCGCTCTTCACTTATAAGCAAATAGCTTGAATTCCGCTACTGTTTGTTGCTATAACAATTTTTTAAAAACAGTTCACTAGAAACTGAGCACTACGGTCACAAAATCCTTCTGCTATGAAATAGTTGAAAACTAACGGTAAACAAGTTTTTGAACGCGACGACAATGGCCACGCCATTTCTTGCGCGATTTCACGCCAAGAAAAAAACGCGGCCGGGTTGCACAAATGCATCGCACGATTTCCGGCCAAGAAAATATAACATACTCCTCCCCGACGGGCTGACACCTGATTCCCTTCTCTTCCCTCCCCTTCCCCCCCAAAGAATGTACGGACGTACGCTGACGTCACAACCAAAATTTCATAGTTTACGCATGAGTTTCCTGAATCATGAGGCAAATCCACAAAATACATGAAAATACATTGCTCTTTGTAAGTTCAATTCCGTTGCCTAAAATATCACTTCTATTTGTACACTGCCATTGGTACAGATTGTCCTGCAATAACTAAAGGTTTTTGTTGTTCTGATTTCCTTTGTTCTGATTCCTTTTCACTTAGCCTGCCACTTAGCCTGCCACGCAGGCTAAGTGCCATCTACAGTCAGAAATGTCACAACTGCAACTTTGAGTTCAGGCCAACGGCCGGGGTACCGGTCACTAGTTGTATGATTACCAAGCGCTCTACGGAGTTCATGTTCCTACTAAGTATGNTTACAAAAGGGTCAAGCCAAAGTAAGAGTGAAGTAGAGTAGAGGGCAGTAAAGAACGGGGCGTGCGAGGGAGACACGCGAGGGGAGAGGAAAAACCTACCCGAGACCGAGAGGCCCATGAAAATCGTTTAGCGGCCACTATCCAATTACCTGGGCGAAAGTCAATAAACAATAACATCAAAACTTTTAAAGCATCTTATTATTCTAATGCTTTTATTTAATCTAAAGGAAATTCTCGAAAAACGTGGCAAACCATTTTATGTTTTAATATAAAAATTATAATAAGATGACACAAGACTCTGTCAGCATCAGCTATCAGTAAACAAGCCGTCTCAGATGCTGCATAAATTTTTCACATAAATCGTCTTCGCTAGTTCTTCGCCTGTTAATTCTTTGCTCCCTGCCGTTTTCTTCTTTCTCTTTGCCTTCGCTCTTCACTTATAAGCAAATAGCTTGAATTCCGCTACTGTTTGTTGCTATAACAATTTTTTAAAAACAGTTCACTAGAAACTGAGCACTACGGTCACAAAATCCTTCTGCTATGAAATAGTTGAAAACTAACGGTAAACAAGTTTTTGAACGCGACGACAATGGCCACGCCATTTCTTGCGCGATTTCACGCCAAGAAAAAAAACGCGGCCGGGTTGCACAAATGCATCACACGATTTCCGGCCAAGAAAATATAACATACTCCTCCCCGACGGGCTGACACCTGATTCCCTTCTCTTCCCCCCCCTTCCCCCCCCAAAGAATGTACAGACGTACGCTGACGTCACAACCAAAATTTCATAGTTTACGCATGTGTGTCCTGAATCATGAGGCAAATCCACAAAATACATGAAAATACATTGCTCTTTGGAAGTTCAATTCCGT